ATGTCGTCGCCTGGTTCTCTATCCTGGGGTCAGGTCGGGCCTGTCCCCCTACAGGCGAGTTGTGGACGAGAAAAAAAAAATACCCCACAAATATGCAAAAATGCCAAATAATAAAAGTCGTCCCCATACGATGTTTGTAAATTACCTCTGAACATTTTTCCTGTAGAAGGACACGCCCAGCCTAATCCTGGGGCGTGTGCTGGAGGTTGCTCGCCGCTGCAGGGGCTTTCCGGGGCTCCCCCGCTGGCGTTATACACACGGGGCGTTGACCTAAAGAATCCTAAATCAGGAACGAGGCCCTTTTTCCCCATAAGTTAAACTTCGATTTCCCATGGAAAACCTAAGAAACACCCAAGGCAAACTGTAAAACAATCAAGCAACACCGAGCCCCTCCCCAACACAAAGGGTTGGAGCACAGTCGTGGCGTCCAAAGTCAGGGAATAGGCGAAGCCAATAAGCATCGGGAGGTGCACCTCCTGACGGCCTGCTGGAGCTTATGTCATGATCTTGGCAACGCGCGAAAACACATCTAATATCTCGCGAAAACAAATGCGCTATCACGGTTTTCCGTGTACTCCAAATCCCATATGAATGGGCCCCACTTGAAAAACTGGACCCCCCTCCAAATGCGACCTAATATTCTGGACCCCCCTCTTCGACGGGACGCCTTACTAAACTGGAGCCCCTAAGCTCCAATCCAAAGAAAGCGCCCTAATAAACCGGACCCCCCCCCCAGTTACAAAAAAAAGGCGCCTTGAAAAAAGCGGACCCGGGGAACGATTCACAAAGGAATTGGAGTAAATACGGACGCCCGATAGGAATGCAAGGGCCTTGGAGGATCATTACGAGGCTTTTCGAAGGGGGCGCGGCCAGCGAGAGCGGCCAAGGATGCGCCGAGGGGGCAAGGATGCAAGGGTAGCCTTTGGAAGGTTGCCCATCCTGATTACACGGGTTGACTGTAGTAATCAGAGAGTGCTCCAGGGGGTGCAAGATCAGAGGAGGAAGACACCCATAATTACTGCTGCCCATCCCTCGTTTTCACCCTTTTTGGAGCCTCCTGGGAGGCCCTCGTCGCCACCGCTGGATTCGCCTCTAAATTTTAGGTAGAACGCACCACGGGAGGGGTCCGGGGATACCGATACGGCTACTCCCCAATACGGCTACTTTTGTTCTTAGAAACCAAAAATCTTCAAACAACAAAAACCAAAGAGGTATACCTCTTTGGTTTTCCCACGAGGAGGGAGAGCACGAGGGAGGCCAGGAAGGAGACCCTGGGCACCATACCCGAGAGCATGAGGGAGACCACATAGGAGACCGTGCGGGAGACCACGCGGGAAGCCACACGGGAGACAACACAGGGCAGGCTTTAACGCATGGGATGTTTTAACACATAGCATTTTAACACATGATGAATGCATGAATAAATGTATGCATGAGCTCATCCTTGTTTTCAATACTAGATCCCTTCATGTTTGGATACATGATCCGCACGCGGAGCATGTATTGAAAACGACACTGTACCATCAGCGTGCTCTTATACATCTTCGGGGGACCTGGTCTGCCTCGTCGCGGCCCGGATCCGCCTCGACTCCATGTCGAATCCAGGTCGGCCTCGTCGGATCCGTATCGAACCCGCGTCGAACCCGCGTCGAGACCACGCCAGGTCCGCGTCGAGCCCGCACGGAGCCCGCGTCGGGACAGGCGAGGTCCCCCGGAGATGCTAGCGATGTAACATAAGGTAGGCAATCACAAAAAAAATGCATACGGGAGACCCATACAAGAAACTCATACTTGAGCAGGGACCGACCGTCCCGGCATTCCTGTAGTCATACCACAATGGTTCTCAGAACCCAAAAATGTTCTGAGAACGAAAAACAATGTTCTCAGAACATAAACCCGATGTGACAAAACGAGACGGCCCCAGCCAGAAAGGATCTAAGAAGAACATGTCGTGGAAGCCACAAAGAAGGTTCTTAGAACATTTGTTTTTGTGGGGCTATGGGCGAACCAGGACGCTTCGCCACTGCTTGACCACACGAGAGACCCATACCAGGGGGCCCTGCGGGCAGCAACGGGCCGCAAGCCACCGATCCGGGAACCGGACTCGCCCGCGCTCGGCCTCGGAGAGCCACGACCCGGGACCCCTGCCGGACGAGCTGCCTCGGGCAAGCGGGGGGGCTCTCAGGGCGAAGAACTGGCCCCTGGGGAAACTCCTCCTCCTCCTCCTCCTCCTCCTCCTCCTCCTCCTCCTGCTCCTCCTCCTCCTCCTCCTCCTCCTCCTCCTCCTCCTCCTCCTCCTCCTCCTCCTCCTCCTCCTCCTCTGTGCGGGTTGGCTGTACAAGCCCCCATGGACGTCCCGACCCCTTCCCTGGGACCAGCTCCTCATCCCGAGCCGATGTCTGACGGTCCCGCGGCCCGGCGTGGGCCCCCAGAGGCCGAAAGACGACGAGAGTTCGGCCCTGTCTTGTTGTTCGATGCGCACACTTTTTTTGATTCGCGGGTCGAGAGCGCACCTCTTCCGGTCGAAGCTAAGCGGGCCGCGCGAAGCTTGAATTACCAAGGGGGGGGGAAAAGAAGGAGAGGTCCCACAGCCAGGCAAGGAGGAGGCAAAGTATCGTGGGCGGTGCCGAACGAGTGCGAAAGCCGCAGGACTCGACAGGACACAAGGCCTTTTTCATCGACATGGCCACCAGGGCACTCCGCCGATGGAAAACGAACCAGCAAGCAACCCGCGTCTGCGCCAGCTCGTGCACGTCTGTGAAGAAACCGCAGCATCACCATTCGAGTAGGGGATCGATTCAGAATCGAGGTGGCACAAAATGCTCCGTAGATCTACGGACTATTCTACGCACCTCTCCCATAGATTCGACGAGAAATCTGACGGAGTGGACGATGGCGTGCTTGGGGGAGGGGCCGCTTGCGGACCTCTCTGGATGACGATGCTTAAAATTGGGGGCCTTCTTGTGGACCTCTACATTACACTACCGAGGAACCCCACATATCTATATTATCCGCTGGCCCCCTTGTGGGGCACCAGGCTGTAGGCCGAAGGTTCGCAGTTTCCTGTGCCAGTTGCAGCTTCCAGTTTCCACTGTTACAATTTTGCTTCTTGCTGCTTACTGTTCCTTGTCGATGAACCGCGCGAGGGGCCAAACGGGCAGGTTTAGCACGCCCTGAGCGTGTGCTCTGAATTGCTGGGGTGGGCAAAAATTGACACCCCTCACGCAGATCGGCGGGGTCAGGGTCCACAAACATATGGGATTTGCCACATTTATGAAATTCGGTGGCACCCCTCACGCAGATCGGCGGGGTCAGAGTCCAAAAACACATGGGATTTGCCACATTTCTGAAAGTTGCTGGCACCCCTCACGCAGATCGGAGTGTCAGGGTCCAAAAACACAAGGGATTTGCCACATTTCTGACATTCGGTGGCACCCCTCATGCAGATCGGCGGGGTCAGGGTGCAAAAACACATGGGACTTGACACATGTCTGACATTCGGTGGCACCCCTCACACAGATCGGCGGGGTCAGGGTCCAAAAAAACACATGAGATCTGCCACATTTGAAAAAAAAGGTGACACCGCTCACGCAAATCCGCGGGGAAAAGCATATTGGATTTGCCACATGTTTAAAACTCGATGGCACTCCTCACGCAGATCGGCGGGGTCAGGGTCTGAAAACACAAGGGATTTGCCACATTTCTGAAATTCGGTGGCACCGCTCACGCAAATCGGCGGGGTCAGGCTCCAAAAACACACGGGATTTGCCACATTTCTGAAATTCGGTGGCACCCCTCACGCAGATCGGCGGGGTCAGGGTCCAAGAACACAGGGGATTTGCCACATTTCAAAAATCCGGTGGCACCGCTCACGCAGATCGGCGGGGTCAGGGTCCAAAAACACATGGGATTTGCCACATGTCGGACATTCGGTATCACCCCTCACGCAGATCCGTAGGGTCAGGCTCCAAAAACACGGGGATTCGCTACATTTTTGAAATTCGGTGGCACCCCTGACGCAGATCCGTAGGGTCAGGGTCGAAAAACAAACAGGTCCCGATAATGCTTCACGGCAGCGCCCAGACCTCCTGATTTAGCGTTCGCATCCCCCATTATCCGAGGAAGGGGGCCGGCGGCATGGGGCGAAGCCCTCACGGATAAGCAACAAGCACCGCGTCCTTCGATTGGGTACCCTGCCGCTCCGAGCCGGCTTGAGCCAAAGTGTTTACAAATCTGGATGGTGCGCAAACCCCTGCCAGCGCAACTGATGGACCTCTTCCTTCTCCTCCTCTTCCTCCTCCTCCTCCTCCTCCTCCTCCTCCTCCTCCTCCTCCTCCTCCTCCTCTTCCTCCCCCTCCTCCAATATGAAGGGATGGGAGAGAGGGGTAGGATCGAGAGAAGCAGCGCCATGGTAAGGGATGGGTCGGCGGCACTGGCCGTTTCGATCAGGGTCGGCGGCACTGGCCGTCAGGCCTCTCCAATCTGGATGGTGCGCAAACCCCTGCTAGCGCAACTGGTGGAATGCAACGGCGAGACCTGTCCCCCTGCGCACCCCCCGTGGCGTCGAGAAAGTGCCACGCCTGCCACGCCCCGCGACCCTCGGACGGATAGAGACCACGGTGAGGAACCACCCCCTCTGGCGTCGAGAGAGTGCCACGCCTGCCACGCCCCGCGACCCTGGGACGGATAGAGACCACGGTGAGGAACCACCCCCTGCGCAGCCCCTCTGGTGTCGAGAGAATGCCACGCCTGCCACGCCTTTCGACCCTGAGACGGATATAGACCACGGTGAAGAACCACCCCCTGCGCACCCTTTACCGTTTAGGGAAAGTGCCACGCCTGACACGCCTTGCAACCGAGAACACGGTGAGGGACCACCCCCTGCGCACCCCCTATGGTGTCGAGAAAGTGCCACGCCTGCCACGCCTTGCGAGCCTGAGACGGATAGAGAACACGTTGAGGGACCACCCCCTTCGCACCCTCTATGGTGTCGAGAAAGTGCCACGCCTGTCACGCCTTGCAACCCTGAGACGGATAGAAACCACGGTGAGGGACCACCCCCTGCGCAACCCCATCTGGTGTTGAGAAAATGCCACGCCTGCCACGCCTTGCGACCCTGAGACGGATAGAGACCACGGTGAGGGACCACCCCCTGCGCACCCCATCTGGTGTCGAGAAAGTGCCACGCCTGCCACGCCTTGCAACCCTGAGACGGATAGAGAACACGGTGAAGAACCACACCCTGCGCACCCTCTACGGTGTAGAGAAAGTGTCCCGCCTGCCACGCCTTGCGACGCTGAGACGGATAGAGAACACGGTCAGGGACCACCCCCTGCACCCTCTATGGTGTCGAGAAGGTGCCACGCCTGACGCGCCTTGCGAATCTTGCGCGCGTGTGTTGTGTGTGGTATGCGCGTCAAGTGTATGATGCGTGTGCGCCTGTATCTGGACGTGTGTCTCATGTGGAGACCACCCCCAGCACACCCCCTGTGGTGTCGAAGAAATGCCACGTCTGCCACGGCGGTTCTGCAAGTGCGAGCGAGACGGAGAAGCAAGAGGTTGTGGAAGAGAAAACCAAAACCCCCGCACAGCTCCCGCAGGCGGGCGCGCCCCTTGCGCGCGGCGCCGCCGGGCCTCCTGCTGCTCGACGGCCGCTTCGTGGACCGTCCCTGGAACACTAACAAACAAGCAACGACGAGCGAATGCGCCAGCTTGTGCATGCCTGTGATGAAATCTGCAGGACGATCGGGGGAGGGGCCGCTTGTGGACCTCTAGTGGGCCTTCTTGTGGACCTCTCCACTCAGCCCAGTTCGCAGAACGGCGCGCCGCGACGCCACGCGAGGAGGAAAGGGCCCTCACGCGTCGGGACGGGAACTGCCCCACCTGCAGGCGACGCAGTCGCTGCTGCAGCGGCCCAGCACGTGCTCGCACAGCACCCCGCCCGCGCCGCCCTGGCCGCACAGCTCCCGCAGGCGGGCGCGCCTCTGCGCGCGGCGCCGCCGGGCCCCCTGCCGCTCGACGGCATCCGAGGCCGCGCCCTGCTCGAAGCCGCGGCGCAGAGGCTCCTGCAGGCCTGCGACGAGCTCGGGCGCCCACCACGCCGAGGCGGTGGCGGCGAGCTCGCCGCAGGGGCCCCGCGACGCGCCAGGCTCGACGCGCCCACAGGCGGGCGCCCCTGGCGGGGCCTCGGCCGGCGGCCCACGAGCTGCCCGCGCGTACCGCCGCACGGGGCGCGGCGCGCACGCGGCAGGGCGCCGGCCCGGCGCGCCGCCGCCGTCGGGGCCCACGGCGCGGGCGCCGTGGGCGCCGCGGGCGCCGCGGGCGCGGCGTCGGCCTCCTTGCCGGCCGCCGGGCAGCGGCAGAGCAGCGTGGGCAGGCGGCGCGGGCCGCCGCGCGCCCGCGCGCCGCGGCTGGCCGCGGGGCCCGAGGCCATGCTGCGCCGAGGGGAGCGCCGCGTGCCGCCGCGGGGGCGGGGAGGAGAAGAGAAACGAGTGGCGAGAAGAGGGAGCTCGGGCTCGACGAACGGCAACGGCAAGAAGAGGAACCAAACAAAAACAAATTGGCAAACAAAACAATGGCAGGAGTCTTGAGCCAGCCACGGGGGCTCGACCCCGTGTGCGAAGCGAGCATGTCTGGGAGGCGGGGGCTCAGGTCGGGCGGGTCCTCTTGCAGGCGGAGCCTGGGAGGCACGCAAGAGAGAGTCGAGAGGAAAACAAACAATGGTCCGAGGAGCACGAAAAATCGTCACCAGACTGTTTCTCGACTGTCCTTGACTATTCCTCCTGCAGGCGGCTTTTGGAAGACACATGAACAAAATACTACAACAACATGAATATAATATATATATATTATATATATATATATATATATATACATATCACAAAGGGAGAGAGAGAGAGAGAGAGAGGAAAAAAAAAAAAAAAAAAAAAAAAAAAAAAAAAAAAAAAAAAAAAAAAAAAAAAAAAAAAAAAAAAAAAAAAAAAAAAAAAAAAAAAAAAAAAAAAAAAAAAAAAAAAAAACGATATTCGAACAAATAATCGAACAACTCATCGAAAAGTCATGCCCAAACTATTGTTTTGGTATTCTGAAATTTGCCTCCTGTAGAATGACATGCCCGACCGAAGCCCAAGCCCGCTCCCCTCCGGACCCCGGCTGTCCCACAAGGCGGCGAGGGAGCGCGCCGCAGTGGTACGGCTAGGTTCGGAGGTGGACAAACCTCCCTTTAGTAAACCAGCCTTTACTGAAAACGGCCTAGGACCGAAACCGACGGACCTGGACCCGCAAAAATGAGGGCCTCGACGCCCCTTCGCGAACCGAAAACGGCCAATTCGCTAGTCGACGTGTCAGGGCAGGTCAATCAACCTCCGAGGAGGGCGCGCGCCCGACGAGAGCCAGCCGCCGCCGGCGGGTGCAGAGGAGCCGAGCAGCGAACCGATGCCCCAAACCGAAAAATTGGAGCGGGCGAATCGGGCCTGTTTTCGGCATCCAGCCCTGAGATCC